TTTTTTTATTTTTTTTACTTTATATGAAAATACTATAATCATAATATTATTTAAATTTATAAATTTACAATCATAATTTATCAATAAATAAGTATAATATGTTATTAAATAAATATATAATATCATAGGTAAACTAATAAATAAAAAAAGTTAATTATAAAATGATATATCATGATAGAAACTTATAATAACATGTAAAATTATAATTATATCATTTTCATATTTGTATAAAACATGCCTCTTACATATTAAATTACACAACTACTGGCTCAAGTGCAATTTTTTTTTTTTTGGGGAGCTACATTCATTTTGCAAAACCTGGAATCTATGCTAAAACTGCTCATCAAGGTCTCAATGAAGCTTTACCGATTACCATCAAGCAGTCAAATCCACTTTGCTCCCATGAAGATGACACTGGGTGTAGGCCTGGGCAGTAAATGGGAATACTGGTGGGAGTTGGTATACCCTACATTGTTTTGCCTTTGGTTTGGTCATGATTCTTGTTGCTCACTAGTGGGAGTTACATGTCATTTTTCTCATCTATCATTTCAAGTAACAAAACTAAAGACATTAGGGATCAAGCCTCGTGATGTGCTAGCAGAATAGTTTATGCATTATTGGATTGACCTTACTTTGGGATGTTCATATCTAATCCAATCCGATAAATCTGATCCAAACTAACTCAATTCAATTAAAAACCAAACCAAACAAATATAAAATTATGTTGGTTTAAATTATAAAAATTTAAAATTGATATAATTGATTTGGTTTGTGGTTTTACATTCGAACTACCTAAACAACCTGATTACAAAATAAAATCCACTTACAAGTTAATTTAATTAAATAATATAATTTATTTTTGTAGTATTTTTTTTTTCATATTTCACAAAATAATAACTCCATTAACTTAATCGAAAAATAAAAATAAAGCATCCTCATATTCCCGAATTTACTTTTTTTTTCTTAATTGTGCACTTTAACTTTAATTCTAAATTTGTAATTTGTTTGTAACTCTACCCCTCATAACTAATCTGCGACTTTACTCTTAAAATCCTAAATTTCTAATTTGTTTCTAAATTGATATTTTGATTCTCCTAGCTAAGTCTTAAAGATATATCATTCCAAAAGTTTTAAAACTTCATAATAGAACTAGTCTTGATATTCTGTTATTCTTAGATGTTTGATTAAGGAGTTTTAAATTTTGATTATAAAAGTTTCTAATCAATCTTAGTGATATTTATTTTAAATTTTATTCACTTTTAACAATGTTTAGAAGATGAGATTGAATTATTAGTGGATTAAAAAAAAAAAAACTAGTTTAACATTTAAGAATTACTTGTACTATACTTGAAACTTGAATTCATCTTTTATTATTTTTAGTGCCTTTGATGATGTAACTAAGAAAATTTCTAGATCTTTTCAATTTTTACAATTATAAAAGAGTATAAGATCTTGTTTATAATTTGTGCTCTTTTTAATTATATTACTACTGATTTGGATACTAATGTATTTTATAGTTACGTTTCTTACTTAATGTTAAAATTTGTTACACTATCTCATATTTTTAATAATATTAAAAACCGATTAATTTTACCAAACCACATTGATCCGATTTAAGTTAGATTTGTTTAGTTATTATATAATAGTGAATTAGATTGATTTAAAAAATGTTAAAATCCAAACCAAACGACATTACAAATACCCCCTAACCTTGGTTATTCTAGATTATTGGACAAGGATATTTAGATGATTTAGTTGATATTGGATTTTATACATAATTTGACCTTATTGGTTGTTTGAATTTAAAGCGTAGGTTATGGTAGAATTTTATTTTTTTTTATTAATAGATTTTAGTGGTCTTTTATAAGTTATGGATTTTGCATAATGTAATAAACATGTTTTGAGCCTTATAAACACGTGGAACCCACTCACAAGTGCACGGTGGTGTGACGGATTTATATGACACTCCTAGGCAAATCCCACATTGGTAAAGTATGTGAGAGATGTTAGACATATAGGTCAACACCTATTAACTCGTATTGATGCATTTTAAAATTGTAAAGCTCAATAGATCAAGGTGGACAATATCAATAACTGGTTAGGCCATTATATATGGTATCAAAATCACTTCATGTGACTTCAATTTCAATGAAGACCTTCAGTCCCAAAAGGGAGTATGTGTGATACCCCTAAATAAATCTTACATCAACAAAGTACAAGAGAGATATTAGGTATATAAGTTAATAACTGTTAATCTCAATTCATGTATTTTAAAACCATAAGATCAGATGGGTCAAAATAAACAATATCAATAGTGGACTGAGTAGTTACAAGCCTGTTGGAGCTCCATGTTCTTGTCGCATGGGAGCCTGTTAAGCCTTAGTTGGTGTTGGACTACTATCTTAACACCAATTTAGGAAGTAGGGAGAATGGATTGATTACGATGACACACTTAAAAAGATTACGCATAATTATATAGGATCGGGGTATTATGAAATTCAAGTTGCAAACATAAATCATCAATTACTATTATCAAAATAAATAAATAAATAAATCATCAATAATAACCACATATTTTTTTTTTTGGTACTATCTTTCTATTATTTGAAAACTATATTAGATCCTGATTAATTCAAAATTAAGCTGAAGTAAACCTTGTAAAGGGGAAGTGCTTCCAACACTTATTTCTCCATTCATAATACTCAAATTCGAAATTTTATTTAACAAAAATCAAATTCATACCACTGAAAGTAATAAATTGTCGGTATAACCATATATTCTTTAAATCAAGAACAATTTCAAGAACCTAAGAGTCGTCTTTTTTTTTAGACCAATTTGTGGGTAAGATTAAAGCGAAGAGAGGTCACACAAGGCCCAAGATAGACATTTATATGCATATAATAACATTATTTTATAAATTAAATCT